CTGCTTTCATCGTCATCTATCATTCCTCACTGATGCCCCGCCAGTGTATACCGATAGCGCGGGTGGGGTTACCATTCCATTATCACCCATTAAAAAAAAACTTGTTTACCTTATTATTAAATTCTATTGAATAGTTTTAAATACTACGGGTAGTTGTGGATTATCCCTTGTTTACGCAAGCCCCTGTTCCAATTACGCAGAGCTCAATGCCGATATGACGTCACATATTACGTAATCATTTATATCTGTGACCTGTTACGTAGTAGTGCTCTCTGAAGACTGATGTAACGACAATATCAACAGGGTGAGATCAGAGTCGAAAAATGGTAGTGGTATTAGTACGTAGTAAGTGTACCAAGTCTATGATGGAACCAGACTACGTACTCTATACCTATTTATTTAATTTTTTTATACTACTGTAGTATCCCAAGATATATATATATATATATATATATATATATATATATATATATATATATATATATATATCATCACGATGGGCTAACTGGCCTGTTTTCATTCTCATCTATCACCCTTCACTGGTGCTCCGCCAGCGTATCCCGTTAGTGCAGGCGGGGTTACCATACCATTTTCACCCATTAAAAAAAAATATGATGATGATGTAACTATATGTAAAAAATAAGAACTCTTCACAATAACTCCATTTTATTCTATTGCATCACAACACAACATGGAGAAATAAAACAAACGTATTATAAGCAAAAATATATTCATAATTTATTGTCATATCACATTTTAGGTCATAATATTACAAAATACTTTAGCAAAATATTAATTGAAAGTAATCGCCGCAAAGTTTTTTTTTTTTTTTATATATATCAACAGGCAAAGGAAATGCACCACACCTGATTGTAAGTGTATGTACTGGGGCCTTAAAAAAGAAATACGCTCTTTTCTCGAAGGTTACGTTAATTGGAATCGTGCTCGAGTTATTTGTTGATATGTTTATATGTCGACTTACTCCTTTATTCGTAAATACATCAAACCTCTCGTAAACCTATTTTAGCTATTGAACTGTTTTGTCTCTTTCTTATATACTGTTTGTGTTTAAATCATATTCAAATTTTATTTCTCTTGTTGTACGGCTAACTTCATACTGTGTTACCTGATCGTAGATGTTAGACAACGCAAACACTTGTGAACTTAGTTCCAATAAAATAACAGAAGCAAACACACGTCTTTATCTTTGCAAAAATCATAGGGCAAGTCTCATCACACAAAAAAGGACCTTATTGTATAGAACATATACTAAATTCCTAATTTGAAAGAAATAGACAAAAGAGTGTAATAGTTAAAATAGGTTTGACAGTTCTAGTGTTTATTAATAGGGGGGGGGGGGTAATTAATTATTGATAAAACCTTAGATTATAGATAGAGTGTCTCCATACAAATGCTTCGAGAAAAACTAGTCAACTTTTCTATACAATTTTGCGTGATAGTTTGACGAGTGTTACCTTTACAACTTCAATATTTATTTTGTCTTATAATTTACGCATCTTTTTAATGCATAAAAACTCATTTTATTTATTAAATAATTAAATATAGATACGTCAAGATACATTTTATGCATTATATAGAAAACTGATAAAAAAAACGTTTTTGTCAACTAATTTGACAATTAGCTGACAGAAAGTTGACACGTTTTTGAGACACGATGCTCTATCCATATAATCTAAGGGTAAAAACTTAACGAGTAATAAAATCTACTAAATTGATATTTTTCCACAAAAGTGTTTCTTTTAATAAAAGTATTTTGTGACGATATACTTTTCAATTATATTTCCTTAACCTATTATTAAAACTTATTTGGTATACAAATAATACAATACAAAAAGTATATTTTGGTGCATCACTTTGTGTGCTTACACGTATAAACATGGCGACTTCCGTCTTTATTTTATTTTTTTTTCAAAAAACAACTGTTCTTATTGACAAAGAACAAATCTGCGAACCACAAAGAATATAAAAAAAAATATCAATTTAAAAGTACCTCTAAAACGTTTTAAATAATAAATACCTTTGGGTACATTACCATCTAGTCACAAACTAAGTTGATCCTTGACTATGGGTACTGGTTGTGTGGTCCCGGCATAGACTAAACCACCCGTTCCTTTCTCATGGGTGTCATAAGAGGCGTCTAAAGGAACTTATGGTAAAGAGATGGGCAGCAGCGTCCCTCTTAAAACATCTCTAAAAGCCTAACTGTGGTTGCCAACCCGCCTGCCAAGCGTGGCAACTACTGTCAAAGCTCCTCTTATGGGAAAGGCTTATGTTCAGCAGTGGACATTTGACGGTTAAAATTAGTATGAATGAAATGGGAATAACAGATACTTATTTTCGTTTTTTTGTAGTTATACCCAGATAAATATAAACATACATATTGATAAACATAAATGTTTGTATTGTGCAGGGATCGAACTTGCGACCATCATAAGGACGTGTGTTAAAACACTAAAAGATTACGAGACAAAAGTCGCCATGTTTACTGACATTAAGATTATCTATTTATATTAATATTTTAATACATTATTCTTAATAAAAAAAAATTGTTTCAATAAATTTACCGCCAGCAGGAACCGAACCTGCGTCACGGACATTCCGTGTTGAGCATTACATTCCATTTTACACTTATATTAATTTCAAATTGTAATAATTTACTCATATATACAACCGAATCTAATAATTTATATATATATATATATATATATATATATATATATATATATATATATATATATATATATATATATATATATATATATATATATATATATATATATATATTTACTGATCCAATAACGAATATATTAAGTTTGTCATCCAAAAACTAATATTGGTTAACATATTCGAAAATAGATATCCGACCGATATGGGCGATATCGAAATGGGCGATTACTTTATTCCGCCATCAATGTCCAGAGAAACCCAATATACAAATATCGGATCGATACCCATATTACCAATACCTAATATGAACTGTATTTCTAATAGATTTAAGTCTAAATTGGAATAAATTGCAATTAAGACGTTCCATAGAATAAAACTTGCGAAATTAGGATTAAAACATTAATTCTTCCAAGGTTTTAAGTTCGATGGGAGACAATAATCCTCAGAGTATCATTTGAATCTAAAATCGTTTACTACCACGCGTTATATAAGTCTGCAGTTTACACAAAGAGATATTTTGTTTGCAAATAAAACCTACATAGAAATAGCTTTGTATCATACATACATACATATCTGTCACGCCCGTCTCCCATTAGGATAGGCAGAAACAATGGAACGCCAAATGATTTGATTCAAACAGACCTCTTTCGCTACTTCCACATTCATCAATCTTTTCATACACGCTCGCCGGTTACGGGTACTTTTAATTTGGCCCTTCTTCAGCACGTCGCCTATTTGGTCGACATACGTATAAAATCCTTTGTATCAATAGTGAACAATTTATCCGGCGAAGGACCAATAATTGTTATCACTCGTATATTATAGTAAATAACACCAAAAATAGATTAGTTATAGTGAAACATTACATTTTGTGTACAATTTATCTAGCTACATCCACATTACATATGTACCCTAGTCATAAAAACATAGAAACACCTCGTAACCCTATTTTAGCTATTCATCTGTATTTTTTTTTCTCTCTCTTTTTTTGTGTTAAATTCTCAATTTGAAAGAAAGTGACAAAACAGTGTAATAAATATAATCTAATAGTGTATTCTACAAGAAAAAAAAAACTACTCCAATTGTGGCAAAACCAGTTTTTTTTTTTTTTTATTTCAAAATTAATAGACTATAATAAAATTTCAATTGGAAGTATGTCTTTCAAATAAAAAAAAAAAGAATTCTACCCAACGGTTTATAACTGACGGGGTTATGAGGTAACAAAACAAAAGATGCAACCGAATGGTACTTAACTACCTTTTTTTATTTAATTAAAAATATGTCTGTACATTTTAGTTTTTATAAATAAAACGGTTAACCATTTACACAGTAATAAAATAATTTATTATCCAACGTAAATCATAAGATGGTTACAGTGAGATTAATAAAATATGCAATGCATACTAAAATATTAAAAAAAAAATAAACATCAAGCATCAAACTGCCCAATGCTCAAACGAAATCATGATAATAACCTTAGAGTTAGCAACGACGCCATCTAGTTCCAAACTAAGCTAGAATACTACAGGTACTTACTAAATATCTGTAAATGTTTATATTTTATTTATGTGTATGGGATATTCATAAATATATTAAAATTCTCACAAACCTATTTTAACTATTGAACTGTTTTGTCTCTTTCTATTGTACTAAATAGCCAATTTAAAAGAAAGTGACAAAAGAGTGTAAAAGTAGACTTGTATGAAATATTTTAGTTTTTATGAGTATGAATCCACGACTATGGGCAAATGAAATGACGTCTTGAAAACACATTAAGACAATAAATACTAAATGATTTCGATGTCTACAATCTATAGTTTTAATTCCTTATTCATAAGATTGTTTTGTTATTTTCGCTATTTTTTTTTTTCATATTTATTTGCTCTTTTAAAAGTGAGAAAATAACTAACAGTTAAAAATATATTTATTATAACTTTAAGATTTCCATGAGTAAATTATACTATTCCGTCTGTTCCACATGTCTGTTGAGAGTAACGCTTATTAGTCTCATTATAACGCCATCTAGTATCACGCTACGACAATTATAATATATTTTTTTACGACTAGATGGCGCTGATTATAAAAATGCGTATTGATTTAGAGATTTTTCACTGTGTTCAATTCATCCAAATCCAAGACATATAGAGACACAAGTTTACAATAGACGTTTATAATTATAAAAATAAAAAAAGAAATCTATTTTCTTAATTTAAATATATCATAGCACCATCTTACGGGTTCTACAATGTTATGACTACTCGCGTGAACATTGATCGACCGATCGTTAATTACAAACATTATTTTTTTATATAAAACCTAAAATATAAATCGACATTATATGGTCTCCATACTATGATATGTATTATGAGATACGAATTTATTTAATACTAACAGAGTTACCACAAACCGAGCTACCAACCTAACAGCAACAATAACCTGTTGTCATGAACACGATGATTGATTCCAAATATATGGTGCCATGCCATGATAAACCTATAGCTATTTATAAGATATAATTTACATGAGTTATCTCGACGTTTCGACCAGGTTACACAATTTAAATAATTTATCATAATTTAAATGATCACGTTTAAACCATAAACAATGCAACTCGAAAATCTATTAAGCTATGGCATTGCCACTGCTGAGAATTAAGGCCTAATAATAATCTCTAAATCATGGAAAAACTCAACAAAATCAGAGGGCCTACCATGAAATATTTTCCAAAATTTCGTGGCCGAACGAAACACAAGTTTGATGTTAAAATTACATAACACATACCGTTTAAAAATATTAAAAATGTTAAAATATCGTTCCTTTGGACTTTTATGGTAGGATTTATGACGAACGAAATATTAAGTTTTATTTGCTGGACCGATTTCAGTGTGAATAAAAACACGAAATTGAGTCCAAAAACAAGAAATTTCGTTTCATAGTAGACCCACAAACTGGAACCAATGGAAGTGTTCGCCGTTTTAAATTAAATTACTATATGTCTTTTAGGGTCCCATACCAAAAAAAAATTAAAACTACGCTTATGATACAACTCCGACTGTCCGTCTGTCTATTCGTCTATCACAGCGGTATATTTCAATTATCATTAATACTATTAAATTTAAAATAATTTTAAATATTACTTACTTACTTATATTCCTTTTTCTATAATTTAACATATAGTTTACAAATTATTACTAACTAAATTAACATAATGCCAGTTATGTCCGATTATAAAAATAATATCAACTATTTTGTAGGTAAAGAATTTTTTTTTTCTAATATAATACAAACGACAAATTTTTTTTTTTACATTATAAAAAATATGAAGTAGGTAAGTTTTTAATGGTAAATTTATATAATAATCATAGGCTACAATGGTTTAATTTGTTAGTAACATAAACTTAGTCTAATGTTATCATATACTTAAAATAAATAAAATAAATAATGAACAAACTTGGTCACCGCTGAAGCATCAAAGATGCCAAAACAGTGACCAATGTAAGTGCAGTCTAACTTTCACCAGACGGAGACTTTGTACAAAAGTCGTTTGCTTGGGTACTTCTGTCCCATTCGTGTTTCTACCGTGAAACAGTTGTGTTTGCATGACTGTGTTTAGGTTCGAAGGGTGGGGTATGGCGTGAATTTACTGGGTACAGAGAAATAACACCTGAGTCCTCAGGAATGGCAACGCATGGGGGGTATCATGGGCGAAACAGTATACTCTGTTATGTCCATGGTACTGCTCATGTCTATAGGCGACGATTACCAATTTCCATCAGGTGGGCCGTCAGATTGTTTGCCATTCTAAGTTGTATAAAAAAAAACCTGCTCGAACACAGCCATGCAAACACAACTACTTCACAGTAGAAACACGAATAGAACAGAGGTGACCAAGCAAACGACTTGTGTACAAAGTCTCCCTCTGGTGAACAGTGAAAAAACTAATTATTACATTGTCAAATATAGTGTATTTAAGACTATATTTGACAATGTAATAATCCCAAAAGATTACGGTAACAATGTATTGTCAAGTTATTAAGCTCATGCGTCGTATCCTTTCAGCGTCAATCCAGGACGTCGTATTCAATTATTGAGACAACTGTAAAGCAAGAACGGTTTTTTGTTTAATTAAAATATTAATATATAATATGCCTTAGGATTTTATCAGAGTTCACAATACCCACATGACGACGGTGTTAAAAGCGTCCATAGGCTACTATACACTATTACCATCGGACGGGCCGTATGCTTGTTTACCATATTTATAGTATTAAAAATATAACAGCTAGACGCATTAGTGCACAGTCGATTTGTCCGTATTCACATAAGTTTTTCGACCCGACAATCAAAATGGTACGCACAGTTACACGAAAACACCAAGTACAGCATATCTTTACGCCATATCACTTGTGGAGTAGACAGAGCCGATTGGAACATGGCCAGATCTTTAACTACATTACTTGCTCCTAAAATAAATCGTCTAACTACTAATAATCGTCACTAATTCCGAAGGCTCTTAACTGCCCCCTCGAATAGTATACTGAGTTTGTGATTTTACTGAGTTTTTTATATTCCTAGCTAAATCCCGCGGCTTTGCTTACATGAAATAGTACTTAAAGTACCCTATGTGTTAAGTTAGAATATAACCTAACCATGCAGTAAGGGGGGGGGGGAGGGTTGTTAGTAATGGGTACTAATAGTCCCATTGCTAGCAATATACCCAACCAGGTCGACCTCCTCGCGGTTCTCCCTGGAAACTATCATGGTTAATTCCTGATGAATTCATCATGATGGGCTAACTGACCTGTTTTCATTCTCATCTATCACCCTTCACTGGTGCTCCGCCAGCGTATATCAATAGCGCAAGCGGAGCAGCCATTCTATTTTCACCCATTAAAAAAACCATGCGGTAAATATCATTAGATCATCAAATCCGTTCAGTACTTTTTGCATGAAAGAGCAACAAACATCCATCTATCCATCCATTCTCACAAACTTTTACATTAATAATATTTTCTTAAACATGCTTGGAAATGTAAGCATTATTTTGACAATCTTCTTCGAGATAAATCAAAATTGCCGTACTGGCCAGATACATGCGGGCAGCGGCCGGCAAAAGTTGTATGAAAATCCATATCTGTCGTGTTTTGCGGCCAGATAAATTACTATGTAAACTCATCTGTCCTGTAATTAAAAATGGAGTGACCTTTTACTTCGAAACATGGCTACCAAGGAGGTAACTAATAAAAGGTTTTATTTAAATTTCGAACTGGCTGGCTGGCAAATAGAAAGCTGTTTATTGAAAAAAAAAAAACAAAGGAACATTATGGCGCGTGAAAAAATATTATTGTTCGTTATTCGTCATTGAACTTAAAAAGTAGAATTATGTTTTTGATTTCCGCGCATTGTTTGAGATAAGTACTATACAAGCCTGGGCCACAACTAGGCATTAATGGACTCACGTGTGTGCCTCGTCTACGCCTCGGCCCACATTTGTACGTTCGTTCATCAATACCTCAGTTGCTGGCCGCTGCAGTAATGTACTATAATAGAATACATGAATAAAATTACCTAATGTTTCTTCATAGTGCAGTAGAGGTGACCGACTTGAGCCCTCGGACTAGGATTGTCGGTGACAGATCTTTGGTAAATTCATCTAATATCTGTTGGAGAAAAAAATATATATTTATTTATTATTTATTTAACTCTTTATTGCACCAAAAACATTAGAAAATTCAAGTGAAATGCAATAACATAAATACAGATTGAAATATACACATAAAGGTACAAAAGGCAGTCTATTACAACCTTTTTGACATCCCAAATAATTCTTGTATACTATTTGAGATGGATAAAAAAAAAAAAACTATAATGACATATAAAAATATATCTATCTACCTATCGATCCTATTTAAGAGCTGCGCTCTTGTCGGTGGAGCTCTAGCCATATATTATTTCGGGAAGGGCCTTTGACCAGATATCAGCAGACAGGCAACCCTGGCTGGTGTACTACGGAAGGAAAATGGGGAAACTACCACACAAATGTCCCTTACAAATGGAGCACACAAAAAAAAAATATAAGAGGAGAAAATTCCATTATGGCGTTTTATTTTCACAATTTAAACTATGATTTATACAATGGTGATGATGATGGTGATGATTAGTAAGTGTTAATTATAATAAAAAGCATTGTTTACCTTCAAATACTGTTCACATATGGGCTCGTCCGGCGGCGAGGGCGGCGGCGGCAGCTGCACGAACGTCACCGCCGTACCCTCCGAGCACCGCCCTTTGATTATATTGTTCACGCTGGAACAAACATATTTATATATTTATTTATCGACCACATTCCAAAAAAAATTGGTACAAAAGGCCGACTTAATACTATGTAGCATTCTCTCGCAGTCAACCTTTGGCAAAACAGAAATTTAATTATGCGATGAAAAAAATTGAAAATTGTTACAAATATATATTTACACGTACGTATCGTTATACTTACAAATCACGACACACATTTTCATATATAGAAGGGGACATTCAAATATTATGTAAGGCAAGTATTGAAAATTGTTTACCAGCCCCCCCCCCCCCCCCAGCCCATCTAACGCGCCGTAACCATTTTTACCTAATAGTCACAACTCAAATGAAAGAAAAACAAAATAAAACGACATACAACACAATTGAGGAATTCCCCGTAAAACATAAACGAAAAGGGTTGCCAACTTTGGAGACCTTAAATCCCTAGTTACTTATTTAAAAAAAAATTACGTAACATTATTCGAACACTCCTCTCGTCCCTATAACGCATCGTAAAATTTTACAAAAGCCTCCCCCCCCCCCCCCCCCCGCATTTTATCATCATTATACGGTGAAAGGGACGCTGCTGTCCATCCCTCGACCATAAGTTCCCTCAGTCGCCTCTTACGACAACCACGGGAAAGAAAGGAAGAGTTGCCCATTCTATGCCTAAATCTACACGGCAACCTACCCCCTCCCCCCCCCCCCAAATTACGTTACATAATACATTAAAACCCCCCAATATGAACCAATACGTCACGAATGTATGTATATAAAAAAAAAGCATCACTCACGTCTGCAAGTAACTCAGCGGCACCCGCTGGAATATACTGTTCTCATCTGAATTCAGATCGCTGGACCACTTGGTGGCGTTGTCCAGTGATGGCCACTCCGTAACCTGTACAACACATTTTCTGATATCAATACACCTATCCCCCGATTTACACGGTACTTGTTTTACACATTTTCGCTTTTACACGGTTTTCCAAATAAGTTTTTTTTTTTTGTTTTTATCGCACTCTACTAAATGCTACTGTGTTTGAACACGTGCGCTGTGTACACATCTCACGGGGAATCCCGAGCTGACTTGCTGCACATGCACACTGTGTCTGTATTTATTCGCATAAAATTAAAGTTTTATCTACGGAAAATTGTATTTGAGTGAAAGTTTCACAGTGTCAGAAAGATTTAATTTTTCAGTTTAATGTATTATAATTAAATAAAAAAAACAGTGTTTCCGTAATATATTACATATTTTAACCTGTCAATGCATTTTATTTTTATTTCTGTGTACACCTAAAAATATTGAAAAAAATCACAACTGTTAAATAGCAAAATTATGCATTTTCTGCAAGCTTTTCGATTTACACGGTTTTGACTTGAAAATTTTTAATTTTCGATTTACACGTTTTTCTCAGGCTACGTCTACCGTGTAAACCGGGGGATAGGTGTACTGTATACCAGATTTTAAATTAATCCTTTAGGAATACAACTGTCAAATCTGTATGCAATTTAGTTTAGTAGTTTTTTCGTGATACCGGAATGAATTTACTGTGTACAGAGGAATAACACCTGAGTCCTCAGGAATGGCAACGCATGGGGGGTATCATGGGCGAAACAGTATACTCTGTTATGTCCATGGTACTGCTCATGTCTATAGGCGACGGTTATCACTTTCCATCAAGTGGGCCGTCAGCTTGTTTGCCATTCTAAGTTGAATAAAAAAAAAAACAGAGAAAGATTCTAAAAATTGTTTTTTCATCTATTGTCCTTATTTAGACGTCTCAAATCAATATTCCTCATATATTTCCTATGTACAGACATCGTCTAGTCACAATTTTATTATTTATTTAAACTTTAATGCACAGTAAAATTCTATGCACATTTGGCGAATTTAACACCGGACGGTATTATCTACCAGTCATTTATGTATGTAAATTAATATTAAAAGAGATTTGGTTTGGATATTGAATAAAGTCAAAACCCTTCTTCTTTTACGCAACTTAAAATGGCAACCAAGCTGACGGCCCACCTGATGGAAAGTGGTAACCGTCGCCTATAGACATGAGCAGTACCATGGACATAACAGAGTATACTGTTTCACCCATGATACACCCCATGCGTTGCCATTTCTGAGGAGTCGGGTGTTATTCTTCTTGTTGCTTCCTCTATACTTGATTAATTTAAAAAATTCTTTCACCTGTAGAAACCTATACAAATAAGTAATATAAGATACAGTCTTATATTACTTATTTGTATAGGTCCAAAAATACGTGTAAAGCCGCGGTAGGTAGATAGTATGTATATATATTTCAAAATACTTACAATGTGCGTAGTGGCATTTATTCTGAGTAACTTAAGGAGCTCGTCCAGCCTCTCTTGCAGTGGACGGGCCTCAGACATCGGCGGCACGCTGGGGTCTGAACTAGGGCCCACGGACACCGTTCTACCAGCTTCTGAAACAGATACCTCCTTTTATTTATTTATACTAATAAAAATACTGTAAAAATATTGTTTTTAAACATCTTTTACGTCTATACTGATATCTAAAGTGTTGGAATTCTACTGTTTATTTAATTTACTAAATATTTAATTAATGGATAAATTTAAAAACTGCTCAACCGTTTTTTTTTTTAATTCGGCGGCGAGCTGCAGCCGTACTTGCCTTGTATGAGTGTGGGCGGCTGGTGCCGGTGGTGCTGGTGGCGCGGCGCGGCCACCAGCACGCCGCAGCTGCCAGCCGCGCGCAGCGCACCACGGCGGCTGCCAGCCGCGCGCCGAGCGCACCACGGCGCGCGCAGCTGCAGCCGTACTTGCCTTGTATGAGTGTGGGCGGCTGGTGCCGGTGGTGCTGGTGGCGCGGCGCGGCCACCAGCACCCGCAGCCGCAGGTGCTGCCAGCCGCGCGCCGAGCGCACCACGGCGGCCAGCTGCAGCCGTACTTGCCTTGTATGAGTGTGGGCGGCTGGTGCCGGTGGTGCTGGTGGCGCGGCGCGGCCACCAGCACCCGCAGCCGCAGGTGCTGCCAGCCGCGCGCCGAGCGCACCACGGCGGCCAGCTGCAGCCGTACTTGCCTTGTATGAGTGTGGGCGGCTGGTGCCGGTGGTGCTGGTGGCGCGGCGCGGCCACCAGCACCCGCAGCCGCAGGTGCTGCCAGCCGCGCGCCGAGCGCACCACGGCGGCCAGCTGCAGCCGTACTTGCCTTGTATGAGTGTGGGCGGCTGGTGCCGGTGGTGCTGGTGGCGCGGCGCGGCCACCAGCACCCGCAGCCGCAGGTGCTGCCAGCCGCGCGCCGAGCGCACCACGGCGGCCAGCTGCAGCCGTACTTGCCTTGTATGAGTGTGGGCGGCTGGTGCCGGTGGTGCTGGTGGCGCGGCGCGGCCACCAGCACCCGCAGCCGCAGGTGCTGCCAGCCGCGCGCCGAGCGCACCACGGCGGCCAGCTGCAGCCGTACTTGCCTTGTATGAGTGTGGGCGGCTGGTGCCGGTGGTGCTGGTGGCGCGGCGCGGCCACCAGCACCCGCAGCCGCAGGTGCTGCCAGCCGCGCGCCGAGCGCACCACGGCGGCCCGCTGCAGCCGTACTTGCCTTGTATGAGTGTGGGCGGCTGGTGCCGGTGGTGCTGGTGGCGCGGCGCGGCCACCAGCACCCGCAGCCGCAGGTGCTGCCAGCCGCGCGCCGAGCGCACCACGGCGGCCAGCTGCAGCCGTACTTGCCTTGTATGAGTGTGGGCGGCTGGTGCCGGTGGTGCTGGTGGCGCGGCGCGGCCACCAGCACCCGCAGCCGCAGGTGCTGCCAGCCGCGCGCCGAGCGCACCACGGCGGCCAGCTGCAGCGCGAACAGCGCGCGCACGCTGAACGCCTCCTCGGGCGCCGGCCGCAGCAGCTCCGCCAGCCACACGTCGATGTACTTCAGCGACGGCGACCGTCTGTCCACACCACCACAATTCCAATAAGTAGAGAAAAGAGAGATTGTTAGTAATGGGATACAACTACGTCTATCAAATCGACATTCTCGCTGTTCCTCCTGGAAACCGTCAACAGCTAATCAAGGTACATAGCATGGCCCACACCTTCCTTTCTCATAGGCGTCTTAAGCAACGATTAAGGAAACTTAATGATCGAGTGATGAGCAACAGCATAAGTCTTAAAACATCACCATGGCCTGTGATTACCAACCCGCCCCTCAAGCGAAGCAAATACTGACAAAACTCCCTTTATGGAGGAGACTTAAACATTTAACGGCTGATATAATAATAAAAATAATGGTGACCTCTCGACGGCGGCCATGTCGAGCGCGTGGAAGTTCCGGCAGAGACCGACGTTCTTGCCGACGCAGAGCACGTCGGCGACGATGCGCACGTACTCGGCGGCCGCGAGTCGCGCCGAGCGCCGCAGCGGGAACACGGCCTCGCCCGACTCCAGCTCGAACTGCTCCGTCTTGTACGGCGACAGGGGGCTGGGGAAGAAAACAACTGTTAGAAAATCTTATGTAGCGAATACAAGTGTGGTAGTGTGGCGAGTGTGGTGGCGGTAATTGTGATGGTAGTGGTGATTGTGGTGGTGGTGGTGGTGGTGGTAAGTGTAGTGGTGGTGGTGAGTGTGGTAGTGGTGAGTGTGGTAATGGTGAGTATTTTATTTTTTATTTTTATACAACATAGAATGGCAAACAAGCTGACGGCCCACCTGATGGAAAGTGGTAACCGTCACCTATAGACATGAGCAGTACCATGGACATAACAGAGTATACTGTTTCGCTCATGATACCCCCCATGCGTTGCCATTCCTGAGGACTCAGGTGTTATTCCTCTGTACCCAGTAAATTCACGCCATATCCCACCCTTCAAACCGAAACAACCGGTGGTGAGTGTGGTAGTGGTGAGTGTGGTGGTGGTGATCGTGGTGGTGGTGATCGTGGTGGTGGTGGTCGTGGTGGTGCTGAGTGTGATGGTGATGGTGTGGTGGTGGTGGTGTGGTGGTGGTGGTGTGGTGGTGGTGGTGTGGTGGTGGTGGTGAGTGTGGTGGTGGTGGTGAGTGTGGTGGTGGTGGTGGTGAGTGTGGTGGTGGTGATGAGTGTGGTAGTGGTGGTGAGGTGATGGTGGTGGTGGTGGCGAGTGTGGTGGTGGTGGTGATGAGGGTGGTGGTGGTGAGTGTGGGGGTGGTGGTGGTGAGGGTGGTGGTAGTGGTGGTGAGGGTGGTGGTGGTGGTGGTGGTGAGGGTGGTGGTGCTGAGGGTGGTGGTGGTGGTGAGTGTGGTGGTGGTGGTGGTGGTGGGTGTGGTGGTGGTGGTGGTGAGTGTAGTGATAGTGGTGGTGAGTGTGTTGGTAGTGGTGGTGAGTGTGGTGGTAGTGGTGGTGATAGTGGTGGTGGTGGTGTAATGGTAATGATGGTTGCGATGGTGATTGTGATGATGGCGGTGGTGATTGTAGTAATGATAGCGATGGTGGTGGTGATGGTGATGATGATGGTGGTGGTGGTAATTGTGATGGTGGTGGCGATACTAACTCCCGGAAGAAGTCGTGCGGCGGCTGCTGGTCGCGGAAGCCCAGCAGCACGGTGTCGGGCTTCATGGCGCCGAGGCCCGACAGCCGCGCCAGCTGCGCCGCGCCACTCCGCACCGACTCCGCCAGGCTCAGCTCCACGAACGCCTTCACCTGCACCACACCGACCGTTGTTTCTTCATTAGCTTTTACCCGGGAATTCGTCCGTATGACCGGGGTATATTTACTAACGCGGCTACTAGAAGCCTATATCCTTTTCCATTCCGTACAGTACGTGTATACCGAATTTCATAGTGATTGGTTAAGCCGTTAAGGCCCTATGAGGTAACAAACAAACAAACTCGAAAAATAAATAAAAAAATACAACTGAACAGAGAACATCCAACTTTTTTGAAGTCAGTTAAATCAGAATTCATTTATTTGTTAGAATAAAGTATATTTGTATATGTGTTACATAGAAGAAAATTATAGACAAATCTCATTCTACCACAATGCAGGCAAGGAAATATTAAAAATTATCATATCAGCGTTGAAACAGTATACTCTGTTATGTCCATGGTACTGCTAATGTCTATAGGCGACGGTTACCACTTTCCATCAGGTGGGCCGTCAGCTTGTTTGCCATTCTAAGTTGCATAAAAAAAGAAAACTTATTATACAAGAAATAAAAATAGTCTAATCAGAATTACACTAAAATGATTACAGTAATACATGTCGGGGACAACCGCTGGGGAAGGCTTTGAGTGACGACCACGTACGGGTAAACGCAGTGTAGGATGGGGGGTCATCCAGGATTCACCAGATGGAGCGACGGCCTAAAATGCGTTGAAGAGGTCAGTGGATGCAGGCGGCTTAGGACCGTTCTCTATGGCAGTCTATAGGGGAAGCCTATATCCAGCAGTAGATGGATAACGGCTGAAATGATGATGATGATGAATTGATGTTGAGAACATATAAAGTGTGGTCGTGTGATGTTCAGCAGTGCGTTACCTTGAGATGGTCGACGAGCTGCAGCCAGTAGCGCTGCTCGGCGGCCAGCGGGTCGCCGGCGTCCAGCTGCCCCACGCGCACGTGGCCTAGCACGAACAGCCCGCCCTGCCGCCGCACAGTACACACCGTCCATCAAAATCATTAGCCAAATGTAACCCTCTCATTCAAGGGAGGGAAAAGGCTTGTTAGCAATGGAGTTTGACAGCCCCATTGCTAGCAATATACCTTATTAGGTCGACCTCCTTCATCCTCACCTATCAATCTTCACTGGTGCCCCGCCGGTGTATACCGTTAGCGCGGGTGAGGTTACCATTCCATTATCATCCATTTAAAAAAAAAACCCTCTTATTCATTAGGGAGGATGGAATTTGTTGTAATACCGATTACCAATCCCATTGCTAGCTGGTCACCCTTGGAAACGATCGTGCTAAATGATGTCTAACATCACGATGGGCTAACTCTGCCTTTTCATTTTCATCCATCATCCCACATTGCCCCCCCTGTGTGTGTATACCGTTAGCACAGGCTGGGTTACCATTTCATTAAAAATACCCCTTTTTTTAAACACCTTGTGGGAGGTGGATGGGTACTGTGGGAATTCCCCCGTAAGGTAGGGGTGTACCCACCAAAAACCAGACGATATACCCTCGAGGATATACCACATCTCCGACAATTAAAAATACCCCTGGAAAATTAAATACACCGGTCCTGTCAAAATTCCACGATTACCACTTTCTATCGAATCAGCCGTCAGCTTGTTTGTCATTCTAAGTTGATTAAAAATTCTCCGTCTGGTATCATCATACCAGCTATATACAGCAATGGGCAGTTACCACTGCCGAATGTAGGTTTCCTCTGTAAAAGGTGGTTTTGCCAGTAGTTGCCACGCTATGGAGGCGGGTTGGCTAACGGTTGCCAACCCTGGCTTTGGTGATGTTTTAAAAGGGTCGTAGCTGCCCATCCCTCGATCATTAAGTTCCCTGAGTCGCCTCTTACGACACACAAGTGAAAGGAAGGGGTGGTCCATTCTATGCCGGGACCACACGGCATTGAACAATCTAATATATTCCAACAAAAGAGTGTAGAAGGTTAGACAGTTATATGTACCTTCTTCTGGTCATTAACAAAGTCAATAAGCGGCGCCGACTGCCGGGGGGAGGCGATCAGCAGCAGCATCTGCGGCCGCCAGAACTTGACGTGCTCCCGCCGCGGGTCCAGCAGTAGCAGGTATTTACGGACCTGGAATGAAATCAATAATTACTGCTAGATGACCCAATCAATTTGGTTTCACCAATTATGCCATCTATTAAAAGTAATCCGAAGAAGAGATTTCTATGCAATATTACTTATTTTTAATTTTTAGATTCTTCAGCTGAGCTTTTAAAAAAAAATTATCAAGCCCTTTTTGAGTTTAACGAGATTAAAGAACAGCAAATGCTTTGATCCTCAAAATAAGATACTGGTATTATAAGGCACCAGGCAATGAGCATCTGGGTGTACAACCTGAAACGCCCAGACCTGAGGCAATCCAAAAAAAATTATTCCCTAAATTGGCCCGACCGAGAATCGAAACCGGGACCTCATTAACGCAAAGCGATACACCTACTACTACAGCATAGAGGTCGTCAAATCAAGTCATTAGTGAAGTGGATATACTAGCCTGATGGAAGATGAGCGCCTGACTGAGACTGCCCCACTTGGGGTCGGCGGCGGCCGGGGACAGCAGGTGCAGCGCCAGCACGAGCGCCGTGCAGGCGAGCGCCGCGCCCGCCGCGTACAGCGGCCGCAGCGCGAACACCAGCGCCGCACACCCCACCAGCCCCACCAGCGACGTCACCCACGAGAAATGCTTGAACGTTGGCCTGGGAGGGACAGGTTGGATCATCGATACAGAATATACTTTAGCTGCCCCACACATATTACATGTCTCTAAACTTTTGACCAAAGATTTTAATCATCATCTGATGATGATATCACCCATCTACTGTCCACTACTAAACACAGGCCTCACTACAGAACAGGGGAGTTTTGCCAATTATGGCCACGCTTGGCTGACGAATTGACAACTGCAGTTAAGCTTTAGTGATTTTGAAGAGGGGCACTGCTGCCCATCCTTCGACTATTCAATTCCTTTAATCGCCTCTTACGACACCTACTGGAAAGGAATGTATAGCCTATTCTATGCCGTGACCACACGGCAAACTATATATTTCAACCTTTAATTGTTTACTGCTGGGTTTACCAGTAGTTGCCACGCTTAGCAGGTGGATTGGCAACCGCAGTCAGACTTTATAAATATTTTAAAAGGGACGCTGCTGCCCATCCTTTCGCTGTCCCTTAGTCGGTTCTTACGACACCGATGGGAAAGGAAGGGGTGGCCTATTCTATGCCGGGACCACACAGTCTATATAAAACTATATAATACTAACCTGAAATTGGGCGCAGATGCCAGATCCAGTCCCAAACAGGCGAGGTTTATAGCGAAGTAACTTGTCATGAACAGTACAGAGTTGACCTGTAAATATAAAATAAATTAAAATTAACTATAATAGTACAGATTCTTTTTATAATCAGACAGACAAACTGACGGTCCACCAGAGGGTATATGGTAATGGAACATCTAAAGATACGCAAGCGAGTTGGTTAAACACTAATTTATTCACTGAAAAAATAAATTGGAACAAATTGTAACTGGCCAGTCCTCAGTCCGCGTGGGGTGTATATACATAGACAAAACAGTACACTCTGTTATGTCCATGGTACCGCTCATGTCTATAGGGGACGGTTACCACTTTCCATCAGGTGGACCGTCAGCTTGTTTGCCATTATATGTTGCATAAAAAATAAGACCAACCTGCGCAATGGCGTTCAGCGAGCCTGCCATAATGCCCACTTGTACGAGCAGCCAGGACACCAGCACCGCCAGCACCGGGTTGCCGGAGCGCGACACCATCGGACGCAGGAGGAAACCTTACAACAAATAGAAATTTTACGGGATTGTACAAATAATAAATTATTTTAATTACTAAACCTATTTTGATAATATTACTAACAGGACCAATCTGTAAGAATATCTTTTGGAATAAAAAAAAATCCAAATCGATTTCTAACCGACTGAGTTACGAGGTAATAAACGTTGAAAAAAAAAAAAACAAATAATCAAATTGAAAACTTTTTATTTTTAAATTACCAGAAGGAGACTGTACAAAAGTCGATTGCTTGGGTACCTCTGTCCCATTCGTGTTTCTACCGTGAAGTAGTTGTGTTTGCATGGCTGTGTTTCGGTTTGAAGGGTGGGACATGATGTGAATTTACTGGGTACAGAGGAATAACACCTGAGTCCTCAGGAATGGCAACGCATGGGGGGTATCATGGGCGAAACAGTATACTCTTTTATGTCCATGGTACTGCTCATGTCTATAGGCGACGGTTACCTCTTTCCTTCAGGTGGGCCGTCAGCTTGTTTGCCATTCTAAGTTGTATAAAAAAAATGTTGAAAATAGGTAAATATATCAAAATTGCTTACCGAAAATATTATCCTTGGCGAGTGCTTCTAAAACTCTGGATGCTCCAATTAAATTGGACAGGCCAGCCGAGAACGTTGCCATTAGCATACCTGTAACAATGTTGATAGAAAAAAATATATTAAATAAATATTAAATAAAATATATTTAATATCAATATTTCAAAGTCTTGTATCAATGTTCGCTCACGCTAATCTCCGAAACCGATCAATGGATTTTAATGAATTTCGTGATGTTTCTAGCAAAACCCCCCAATGGCAAAGGCGGGTCAAATTCAAGTCATCTTTATTTAAATAGACTTGTTTACAAACATTTTCAATTTTTTTTTAATCTACTACAGGGGGTGCTGCGTTATCTGAAAAGTTATGATCTGTTGAGAAGAGCCAACAAGAAACTCAACAGTTATTCTTTTTTTTAATTATTATTATTAACATACATATACATTAAAACAATGATAAGCATTATGGGATCATTATGGATGCCTGTTTGTAATAAATAAGCTTAAAAACTACTCAACGGACATATATAAATTTTTTCACCTTAATAAAGATAGATAGATAGATAGATATACAATTTATTTACATTACTTACAGCACACAAATTACAATAAAAAAAAAAAACATACACGTAATACACAGCAAAAGAGACAAAAGAATAAAAATAAAAAAAGCACAAATAAAAAAAAAAATACAAAAACAAAATACATAATCTAACAATCTCCTTTGTTACCATTCCTTCATGCGTGTGCCATAGTAACACAAAATGGTCACAGCTCAGTTTATTGCTTTGCCCTTAAAAGAGCAAAACACTGATATTCTGCTGTGGCCAAGAGTCAGTCGCGAAACTTTTCATTAAAAATTTACAATATAAAAAAAAAAAAAAAAAATATATATATATATATATATATATATATATATAAACTGCATTGTATGTGTCCATTATATTTGCCTCCACTTGATATTATATTCTACATAAATAAATAAATAACAGATACCATTAGATGAGGGGTAGTCAGAGATCACTTTCTGTCACATTCAGATATTCAGGCAATAAATATTTCGGCTACGTACCTATTGGGTATTCCAATATTTTGTTTATTAATTAAAAAGATTTTAAGTTTTTTTTTTTTTAAATGTGTTTACTATTAGACAATCTTATTGGGGGTGGTATATTATTCCAGCATTTCGTAGCTTGGTAGCGGAAACTTCCCTCAAACGCCACAGTTTTATGAGGACGCCCTGCTAATAAGTAGCGCGTGGGTCTTGTACTATATTTGTCATGGAATGAATTAAATTGTAATTTGGAATATAGATATTCCGGTCGCCGATACTTTAAGATGTCAAATACTGTACAAGCGAGATGAAAGTTTCTCCGAGAGGACATGTTTAAGGTGGAATAATTATTTAAATATGGCGTTAAAGCTACATTGTTAGCAAATAACATGGCTGTGTTTCGGTTTGAATGGTGGGATATGGCGTGAATTTACTGGGTACAGAGGAATAACACCTGAATCCTCAGGAATGGCAACGCATGGGGGGGGGGGGGGTATCATGGGCGAAACAGTTTACTCTGTTATGTCCATGGTACTGCTCAAGTCTATAGGTGATGGTTACCACTTTCCATCTGGTGGGCCGTCAGCTTGTTTGCCTTTCTATGTTGTATAAAAAAAAAACATTACTTCATCAAAAAAATACGCATTGTCATTTGTAACAGAACTAGACTAGCTGGACTAGGTAGATAAATATCTTTCTAGATATCTAGTCATGCGAGGCCAGGGCAGGTGGCCGGTAAATAAGTACTCACCGACAGCAATGAAGGGCGGCCAGACGTTGAGCGGCAGCAGATAGACGTAGTTGTTCTGCAGCAGCGGTCGCGAGCAGGCGGCGGCCGACAGCGCGGCCAGCGCCGCGTACGCCGCGCCCGTGAACACCAGCGCCGCCAGCGTGCCGCGCGGGATGCTGCGCGACGGGCTCTTCAGCTCGCCTGCCGGCAACACCTTACCTGACCACTGCTGAACATACCCTCCCCCATCAAGAGGACCGGGGGAGGGGTTGCCAGTAGTGACCACGCTTGATAGGCAGGTTAGCAACCGCAGTTGGGATTTTGGTGATGTTTTAAGAGGGAAGCTGCTGCCTATCCCTCGATCATCAAGCTCCCTTAGTTACCTCTTACGACACCCACGAGAAAAGAAAGGGTGGCCTATTCTATACCGAGACATAAACAGCTACACTTTATGATCATTCAATATTATTTATTCACATTATTTTGTGTATGTTTATATTAGTCTATCTTTATTAATATCATAAATGGCTTAATAGTTTAACCAATCACTATGAAATCTAGTATACACGTACTATATAAGATAGAGAAGGATATAAGCTGTTTATCCCGATCAATGAAAATAATTTAGTCACGCGAACAAAGTAATAAATATAATGTATATGTAAAGTATTACTTTATGTCTCCTAAATTCTTGTCATCATCCGGCCCGAAGGACCAATTTGTTTAGGCCCTTACTAGTAAAGAGGATGATGATTTAACGATAAAATAGTTATAATTCTCGTTGTAGTTAAAGGTTAAATTTGAATAAAACAATATATAAAGGTAGGCGTACGATGTCGTCACTGACGCGACACGAAATGGCGAACAGAGCCGACCTAAGCCGAAATCGCCCGACGGCTCTTAGTGTTGCAGTTCCATGAAGATCAAACACTGAATATAAGTAAAACGCTCAGCAACGCGCAAATGCATCCTTAGTGTTGCAGGCATCCATAGACTACAGCGACCATTTACCATAAGAAGGGTGAACAGTCATAGGTACCATGTTTGCCAATTTTAATCACTCACCACTCATGTTGGCCCCCGCCATAACACCAGTGACGCCTGTGAACAGCACCCCGAACACAGACGCGAAGTCCACCATGTCGCCATTGGTTGTGGTGTAATCCCTCCCATAATCCGGGTACAGGTTTTCGTAGAAGGTCGCCGAGCTGAGCCCCGTGTAGGTGAAGTTAGTGTCATTCACCAGCTGATTTGTGTCGGGTTTCTCAATCTGTATTGACAAGATCAAAAACTTTTTTTGAGTCCACAGACGCAAGACAGGTCAATGACCCTTGTGTGTGAGGAAGACCGTCTAAAATTCTTGGCACTAGAGGGCGCCACCATCACATGAGTAGTGGTCCACAAATTTATGTGAGATCAATACGGAAATAACCGTATAAACTTTTTTTTTATATCAAACAAGCTCACGATACACATGGTGGAAAGTGGTAACCATCGTCTATAGACATGAACAGCACCATAAAAACTTTGTTTTTTATGGTGCTGTTCATTGCCATTTTTCGAGATATTTTATCCTTAAATCTTAGTTATTATACCCTTCAAACAATGCAAGCACAACTGCTTGATACCAGAAACAGGAGTGAATTAGAAGTACTCGGATAGGCATATTTAAAGGTATAATGGCTGACAAAATATACTCTATTATATTCATGATACTGTTCCATAGACGGTTATCACTTTCCACCAAGTGGCCCGTCAGCTTGACGGCCCAATAATTAATTATCAACTAAATTCTCTATCTATAATAATAAATATTTTTTTTTTTTTATTCAAGTAAACTTCATAATAAGCATTTTTGAACAGTAATTTTTTTATAAACAACCACCCAGTTAGAAATGCAATATCAGCTGAGAAGAACGGACAAGAAACACAGCTGTTGCTTTTTTTTTAAATATAAGTTTACAACAAAGGAATTATGAATGGATAAAATAATTATCACAAACTTCGTATTTATAATAAAAAAAAAAAGCTATCAAGCTCTAATCAATGACAGTATACTTGACCAGACCAGACCCTATTAGAAGCACCCGTTCACGAGTATGACGGATGAGTCAACAATCATTGTGTTCAACCATATTATAGGGAGATCAACCATTATACCTTCAAAAAAGTGGTGTGTATTTTACCAAATTCAAAGTCTTTCAGACGTAACTCACCTCAGCCGGGGGGGTGACAAAGAAGCTGATGAACGCGCTGGACAGACAGACCAACATGGTGACCCATATGGCCAGGCTGGTGCGGGCGAACAGAGACGCGCCGGCGAGGGAAACTCCCAGTCCGACCGCGTTGAGGACAGACCGGTACAGGAACCGGTACCACCAGCCGTCCGGTATACCAGGGTTAGGTTTCACTAGGTAACCTGGGGAATAGAACAATGTATTAGGTTTTTTACTCGACTGATAAAATTCAGGGAACGTTTTCCTGGTACCAACCTATTATATACTTTATTGTACTTTTAATTTACATACATCCTTTCTCTTCTTTATTCAATTCTTTTTAATCCATTATTTAAAAGAAGGTTTTTGTATTCCTTGGCGAGAGCAATTCGTATTCTTTACGTAGTATTAATAACCACCGTCTCAAAATTCTTCCTCCACTTTGCCATTCTATGTTGCATAAAAAGGAAATAAAACAATCTCATCCATTATCTATCCACTGCTGAACATAGGCCTTCCCCCATTGACTGCCATAAGGAACGGTGCTAAGCCATTTACGTCCACTGACTCCCTGCAATGCTTTTCAGGTCGTCACTCCATCTAGTGGGGGGGTCATCCTACACCGGGGGGAAAGGGATTGTTAGTAATGGAGACTGAGAATTGCTAGCAATATACCCAACCAGGTCGACCTCCTCGCGGTTCCCCCTGGAAACTATCATGGTTAATTCCTGTTGAATTCATCATGATGGGTTAACTGACCTGTTTTCATTCTCATCTATCACCCTTCACTGGTGCTCCGCCAGCGTATCCCGTTAGCGCAGGCGGGGTTACCATACCATTTTCACCCATAAAAAAAATACACTGTGTTTACTGGCACAGAGTTGCCATTCAAAACCTTACTTCCTAATCATTTGTCGGTTCTTCGAGCTATATGACCAGCCCAATAGTGTAGCCCCACTTCGATTTCACTCCACAGGGAGTGCAGGTTCTACTTGAATATTTGTTCTTATGGCACTACGAAGAAACATGTTATGCTCACCATTTGTCCCAAAATTCTCCACCAGCGCTTCGGTGCACGCTGATATGCAGAGGGCACTGGATACCACGTTGGCGAAGAAGAACAAAGTGCCAATGGCGCCACCAAATTCTGGACCTAGTGTCCTGCTTATCATGACTGAGTTTGCATTGAGGAAAATAATGCATTATACAAATATAGTGTAAAAAAATTGCAGGGGTCAAAATTGGTATTGTTTTTTGTAAAAATCTAGTACAAAACTTATGCATGGCAATATATTATGTATGAAACCAAAAATTTCTAATTTTATTATTTCAGCTATTAATTTTCCACTGTTGAACATACCACGCTTGGCAAGTGGGCTGGCAACCGCAGTTAAGCTTTTAGAGGTGTTTTAAGAGAAACCCGTCCACTGTTGGACATAGGCCTCCCGCATAGACTTCCATATGGAACGGTCCAGAGCCACCTGAGCCACTAACTTTCTACGATTCATTTGAGGTCGTCACGCCCTCTAGTAGGGGACTGTCCTACAATACATTTGCCAGTAAGGGGTCGCCACTCAACCTTTTTTCCCATCGATTGCAAGTTCTTCAAGTTATATGATCAACCCATTACCACGGGGGGAAAAGGGATCGTTAGTAATGGAGACAGAGAATCCCATGACGCAATATACCCAACCAGGTCGATCTCCTCGCGGTTCTCCCTGGAAACTAAAATGGTTAATTCCTGATGAATTCATCATGATGGTCTAACTGGTCTGTTTTCATTCTCATCTATCACCCTTCACTGGTGCTCCGGCAGCGTATACCGTTAGCGCAAGCGAGGTTACCATACCATTTTCACCCATAAAAAAAAACTCATTACCACTTCAGCTTGCTTACCCTTCGGGCTATGTCGGTCACTTGGTTCTTCTGCGGTTATCCTCATTTCGGATTCTTTTTATTTATTTATTGACACTTTAATGCACAGTAAAACTTTGTACATATGGCGGACTTAACACCGGACGGTGTTCTCTACCAGTCAACTATTGGGCAAACCGAGAAATAAGTAGGCGGTGCATTATTGAATAGAGGAAAAATAATATAATACTTGATACCCAATATATAAAATTCTCGTGTCGCGATGTTTGTTACCAAACTCCTCCGAAGCGGCTTTACCGATTTTTATGAAATTTTGTATGCATATTGGGTAGATCTGAGAACCGGCCAACATCTATTTTTCATACCCATCAATGATAATAAGGGTGACCCACCCCTAAATATTTTTATTTTATTATAATTTAGCATTGAAAGATACATACAAATTCAAATTTTCACGCTTTTACGATCAACCCCTGTCGTTTAATCGCAATTTTTATATGCCGCAATAGGGCTGCAGGATAACAATCGAATATAATAATTGTAGTACGATATATTTTCATGTATAGTTCTAGAAATAATGTATATGGTAAAACAACGTTTACCGAGTCAGCTAGTATTCATATAATATAAACATATAATTAGACTTATATAAACATAATATAAACATAATATATTAAATAAGTATAATAAATAAATACATAAAATATAAGTATATAAAACAAATAAGTGTAAAAGAAGAGCAAATAGAAATCTGTGAGTCAGAGTAACCAGCAAGATTTTTAAAGGGAAAATAATAATTCCGCCAAATGTACATAGAATTTTACTGTGCATTAAAGTTTAAATAAATAAATATTGCAAGTAAAAAATGTATGACTGTAACTACTAATAAACTGTCAGTTTTCTCATATTGGGTTTGCTGGAAAAAATCTCTATTGGAGACAAGCTCGCCTTTGCGCACTATTATGTTTGTTTTTACATTTCAATAACCTTTTGTGTACAATAAAGAATAAATAAATAAAATAAAAATAAAATAGAAGCTTTCAAAAATAAAAGGATACAGTAGACACCTCCGCCTTCGACGGCGCCGTTGGTCGATATGGCACATATGGAGGTCACTGTGAACAGTACTATCAGGTAGGCGAGGCCGAACTGCCCCAACGTGACTAGGAGGCCCGCGTTACCCACCAGGTATCCTGAAACATATTACATACATTTTTAGTATTATTATTATTATATCAGCCGTTAACTGTCCACTGCTGGACATAAGCCTTTCCCATAAGGAGAGTTTTGCCAGTAGTTACCACGCTTGGCAAGCGGGTTGGCAACCGCATAACATATACCTTCACAAAGTTTCAGCCAATTCAACAGATCGGTTATTTTATAGTATTTTATACATGATTTTTTTTTTTATTTATATAACTTTTTTATTTAAATAAAACAAACACTAATTGTTAAGTGCAGCAAACCGCGACGCATTAGTGACAACCGCATTCAAATCGTTCAAGCCGTTTCTGAGATTAGCGTGCACAGATGTACAAAGAAATAGACAAAATTTTTAAAAATCATTCTCTTGGATTCTATTGCGTTCATAAAGCCCCCGTTACAACAGTTTTTCTTAGTATCTTCCATGTACAGACAGCGACCAGTTACGATTTTATTATATGTATTGATAACTTCATAATGAAAAAACTCTTTTACAAAGTCAGTCGTAAACAATATGTCAGTGTTTTTTACTTAACAGTACATACATACATATGTACAAACAATTATAATTATTGTAATGACGACTGGCAAACAGATAACACATACATACATACATATCCGTCACGCCTGTCTCCCATTAGGGTAGGCAGAAACAATGGAACGCCAAATGCTTCGATTCAAACAAACCTCTTTCGCTTCCTCCACATTCATCAATCTTGTCATACACGCTCGCAGATAACACGTAATGCATTTTACGTAATTATTATATACTCGCATGTCCTTATGTTCAACAGTGGACAGATAATGGTTGAGATCATCATGATGATGATGATTATATACTAGCTTTGTCTGCGACTTTGTTCGTTCACCGGGATATGTTTTTTTCTTAGACAACTTAGAATGGCAAACAAGCTGACGGCCCACCTGATGGAAAGTGGTAACCGTCGCCTATAGACATGAGCAGTGCCATGGACATAATGGAGTATACTGTATCGCCCATGATACCCCCCATGCGTTGCCATTTCTGAGGACTCAGGTGTTATTCCTCTGTACCGTGTAAATTCACTGCTATATCCCACTCTTCATACCGATGCAAACACAACTACTTCACGGTTGAAACATGAATGGGACAGAGGAACCCAAGCAATCGACTTTTGTACAAAGTCTCCCTCTGGTATATATACTCGTATCATTGCATTTAAATGGGCCGGAGCAAGAGGATTAAAATCGCTTCGAGTCCATTTTTTTAAATGCCCCCCTTAACTATCAAATTCCCCCCCCCCCCCCCGTGGTGCGTGGGCCCCACGTTGGGAAACACCGCCCTAGATGGTGTTAGTATACATTAATCATTTTATAATCGACTCATTCATGAAAACAATGCCATTATTTGATACCATTTGGTCAGTTAGTTTTGTACACGAACAGAGTCGCAGATAGTTTCAAATACATACATGTTGCGAACAATTATTGTGTATATACAAATGAATCATACAGATAACATACATTTGTAGGACTGTAGGCAGAAATATATCATTTATAATTACATCACATGTTTAATTATGAATAATGGTCTCTATGGGCTCTAATTTTACATTATATATCACTACAACGTTTTTTTACCAACTTCAGAAAGGAGGAAATTTTTAATTCGACTGTATTCTTTTTATAAATTGCCGTGTGTGCCCCGGCACACAATGGCCTGTTAAACACCATTGCTAACAATCCCCCCCCCCCTTATTTGTCAGTGTCGTAAAAGGCGACTAAGTGAATTTAATAACAGTAGTGTCTCACTAACTAAACGATATATATATATATATATATATATATATATATATATATATATATATATATATATATATATTTTTTTTATATGTGTGTATGTGTTATTTCGAGAATTATACATGAAAAATTATCCTTCTACAATTATTATATTTGATTGCCATCTTGCAAGCCTATTTGCGGCATATAAAAATCTCGAAAAAAAAAAACAGGGGTTGATCGTAAAAGCGTGAAAATTATAATTTCTATGTATTTTTCAATGCTAAAACAAAATAAAATTAAAATTAAAAAAAATGTTGGGGGTGGGTCACCCTTATTATCATTGAGGGGTATGAAAAATAGATGTTGGCCGACTCTCAGTCCTACCCAATATGTACACAAAATTTCATAAAAATCGGTAAAGCCGTTGCGGAGGAGTTTCGTAACAAACATCGCGACACGATAATTTTATATATTGGATATCAAGTATTACATTATTTTTCCTCTATTCAATAATGCACCGCCTACTTATTTTTTTGGTTTGCCCAATAGTTGACTATATATATACATGGTCCTTTTTTAAATTAAAACGTTTCTCCCCACGATGGTCGAGTAACCAATTTCGGAAATCTAATTCTGAGTTAACAAACAACTATTTCAGATATTTGCACCTGCCAAGGTCGTTTTCATTATGCAAGTCAATTTCAAATGCTGCCATTGCACACAAACTTGTAATGTCACTGACATTGCGACCTTGCTGCGCATGCGCAGCTATAAGAATACAAGCGATAAAAGTGCATTGTTCATTAGAATTGATTTTACATAGGTCACGCTTATTTATTTTACTTACTAGTGTCACGACCCGGCTTCGCGCGGGTAGATAGGTTGATCTCTGATCTTTCTTTTAATAACATACGGCTTTTTGTTTTATTATTATTATTTCAGCCGTTAACTGTCCACTGCTGGACATAACCCTTCCCCATAAAGTTTTGCCAGTAGTCGCCACGCTTGGCAGGCGGGTTGGCAACCGCAGTTAGGCTTTTACAGATGTTTTAAGAGGGACGCTGCTGCCCGTACCTCTGCCGTTACCTCTTACGACACCCACGGGAAAGGAAGGGATGGCCTATTCCATTAATATTTAAAATCTGTAAATTTTTTAGATAGATGGATTTAACCAAAAAGCAAAACTATTTTTTTATGGGTGAAAATGGTATGGTAACTCTGCCTGCACTAACAGGATACGCTGGCGGAGCACCAGTGAAGGGTGATAGATGAGAATGAAAATAGGCCAGTTAGCCCATCATGATGAATTCATCAGGAATTAACCATGATAGTTTCCAGGGAGAACCGCGAATCCTCCTCCTTCATCCATCCATCCTCATCAGTCATCTATCACTGGTGCACCGCCAGTGTATACCGATAGCGCAGACGGGGTTACCAAACCATTATCACCCATTAAAAAAAAAGAACAAAAAATACACTGTGACACCCCTAGTACCACTCGTCGTTGCCATTCCATATGATAATGGTGTTACGCTTCTGTACCCTGTAATTTTACTGCCTGCAATATCCCATCCTTCGAACTGAAACATAACCGTGCAGCAACAGCCAATTCACGGCAGAAACACGGATGGGACAGAGGTACCCATGCGGACTTTTGTACAAAGTCTTCTTTTGATCATCATCATCTTCCTACCCTTATCCCAATTATTATTTGGGGTCGGCGTAATGTTTTTATCCATATTACAAAAAGATTTGGCTTTTAATATTACGACCGGCCGCCTGCCTGACGTCAAACCTTTTTGGATCTTCGTTTGATGATAGCAGTAATCTCCGAGAACAGCTCTCCTTAATCAATACAGAGAAACTCAAAATGCTTACCCATCCGAATAAATATGAGAGCGCTGAACATGGAAAGCACGACCGGGCAAAACACACCGGCGAACGTGCCCACTTTCTTGATGGTGGGCCGCTCGGTACGGAACTCGCCGAATTCGACGTATCCTGAAACAAGCACTGTAGATATAATAAGCAGCTTCCACCAACTACATCGACTGGTGTATCAGATTCAGAAGGCAAAGATATTTTTTTTATACAACTTAGAATGGCAAAGAAGCTGACGGCCCGCCTGATGGAAAGTGGTAACCGTCGCCTATAGACATGAGCAGTACCATGGACATAACAGAAAATACTGTTTCGCCCATGATACCCCCCATGCGTTGCCATTCCTGAGGACTCAGATATTATTCCTCTGTACCCTGTAAATTCACGCCATATCCCACCCTTCAAACCGAAACACAGCCATGCAAACACAACTGCTTTACGGTTGAAACACGAATGGGACAGAAGTGACCAAGCAAACGACTTTTGTGCAAAGTCTCCCTCTGGTGGAGTACTTCAGATTTACAAATAAAATAAATAAAAGCAAACTAAATAAAAATATTAAACCTTCCACGTGCTTCACTTTCATCTCGAACACTTGTCAACAGAGCGACTATAAGAACTGCACTGATAATATATTCCATTTATCGGGTATTATTACAACCTTGAAATAGTTTAAAAACAATGGATTCACGCTCATTCACTATAACACGGATACAGAGTTAGTTTAGCCTCAATAAGCAACAGAAGTTAGTTCTATAGCATAGTAAAATGGGGCCTTATTTTTTCTTTCTTTATGCTACTATGTTGCCAAACAAGCATACCGGAAGGGGGGGGGGGGGATTTTTAATAATGCGAATTACTAACAATTTACTTTAACAGGTCGACCTCCACGCGGTTCCCCCTCGAAGCCGTCGTGGTTAATTCTAGTGAAATTCGTCACGACAAGCTAACTGACCTGCTTTTTCATCCTCACCTGTCATCCCTCACTGGTGCCCCGCCAGCGTATCCCGATAGTGCAGGCGGGGTTACCATTCCATTATCACTTATAAAAAAAAACAAGTATACGGCTGGTATGATAATAAACGAAGTTACGGTTTACGACGCCTGTAACACCAGGGATGTCATGTGCGCGTTGCCTAACCCTTGAGAAACCTTAATACGCCCTTTTTGAAGGACCACATGCTGTAGTCTCCAGGGTAAGCCTCTGTAGGAAGGTCATTTCACAACCTTAGTGTTAGTGAAAAGAGAAAGTTCCTCCTCTAAAAGTTCACTGTTATGTTACTTAGAATGACATACAAGCTGAAGTGGAAAGTGGTAACCGTCGCCTATTGACATGAACAGCCAATGGACATAACAGAACATTCTGCATGTTTCCATGCACTGCCATTACTAAGTATAATGAATATGCGCCCTATAATTTCTCTATAATATCCCACCCTTCAAACCGAAATACATGAGTAAGATAAACAGTTTATTCTATTTTATTTATTCTTTAATAAAAATACTGTATGTGTTATACTTTAGTAGACAAAATGAAAAGCAGACGAACCCTCAGGAATGACAACACATGGGGGGGATCATAGGTGAAACAGTATACTCTGTTATGTCCATGGTACTGTCCATATCTAGAGGCGATGGTTACCACTTTCCATCAGGTAGGCTGTCAGCGTGTTTGCTATTTTAAGTTGCATAAAAAAATTAAGTCAAAGAACAATTAATCAGCAGAGATATACAACTGTAAGAGCATAACAAAAATTTATTTACCTTCCCCTATGGATCTACTAGATGGAACACTTCGGTTGAACCTCATCCTCAGTTTATTCATAAGTCCTGGATTTCGGAAAGAGTTTGTACTGGGCGACAGGGGGTCTAAAGGTTCGGTCATTTTGAATAGCTTTGTCACTGAAAAAGAAAATAGATTCATCAGTTATTATTGGCTATAGAGGCTTCATTATAAATACTGTTGTTTCCTACTTGGTACTGTAGGCAAATATAGTGTGAACTGGAAGACTTAATTTTAAACTTTCGCATTGTTTACACATATTTTAAATACACAATCAGGATTAAAGGAGATGAAAATGTTCTGTCATGACTAGGATGTAGTGAAGAAATATAGATGTATAAATATAGATAAGGGGTACGCACAATGGCCCAAATGAGAGGCTAAGCACAGAAAATGGAGTCCTTTTCACATAGATAAGGGGCCACCTGAAAATCAGCACTATATAGGTACATCTCGCTGGAGCTGTACATATTTAGCAACAGCTGAAGCGGCTTCTATTACCAGCAATATTGTAAAGGTCATCTATCTAGATAGATAGATAGATAGTCACTCTTTATTGTTTCCTCCAAAACATTATGATAGTAAACTTATTATAAACAATCTATTATTAGGTACCTGCTTTACTTGTAAAAGGTTTTTCATTGTTTTAAGTCTGATTATGTATTTAAAATAACTGAAAGACTTCCTGTAAATATATCTTTAGTAGTACCAAGCATATGTGCATATCTTTAGTGGTATAAGCATAAAAACTATCTTGCAGGGGCCTAGCATATATATTGCATATAATATAAAGTTCTCAGTAACTACTGTCAACTACAATATAATATAATTAAAGATTATTATATAATTGAAGGTAACCAGCAATAATAATAATAATCAAAACCAGTTATTTTTATTTAAAACTAAAGTACTAAACCAATTTAGATACAATTTCTATAGGATCAATCTGTAAGTATATCCTTTCAGATAAAGAAAGAATATTTCAAATCTGTTTAGAAATGACGGTTATAAGGTATTAAGCATATTAAAAAAAAAAACAAATTAAGAACCTTCTACTTTTTGAAGTTGGTTGAAAAAGCAAAAATTGTGTTTAGACTAGAGATGCTAGTCTAGATAGTATAAGAACGGCCTTGTCTTTTCAGGCACTAAATTTAGTAGAATGACCCATTTGCATTATCATTAAGCCTGCTTTTTAGTTTTATAAGGTTATCTCCCCTTCATTGGGGTGTTCTCCTTAAATTTTGTCTTGTAAATTACCATGTGGAAATTACTAGAAACACTTAAGAGACTACACTCAATAGAATTTATATATTAAAATAAAAATATGATAGTTTCCTTCACATTTATAGGTAGCCAGGATAACCTAAAAATGTTCATAACTAAGTCAAAATAAACAAATTTAACTATTAAACAAATTTAGCAATTATAAGAAATAATAATGAAGTAAAATAACTCTTTTTATACAATTTAGACAAATTGGGGCTAAACAGTCAAGTGATTATGCATATTCAATAAATTATTGTATTAAAATTGTTAAATAAGTTTTAATATTTCCTTTTTTATTATAAATATCACATGCTCTATTCTAAAATATGTAGAGCATGTTAATATTTTTAGAAATTACTTATTAATAATTTATAATGTATAATTTGGCGCTAATTTCACAGCCCATAAGCCTATCAAATGATCCTTTTTTCTGATAACACTGGCACACATAAAAAGAATATGATGACCTCACCAAATAAGTTCTAGAGCACCTAAGTTTTTTTTTCACTTCACTATGTTTATATATAACTATTACTTACTACTAGAAATGAAAAAAATAGATTGTTTTTTTAAAAATACAAAACAAATACTTACCAAAGTTATTTAAAAAAAAAAGAATTTAAAATTTTGTTAGAAGACGGACATGACACAGATTTAAGGCTCACAACATTGTTTGATAGCAAATAAATTAGACGATAGTCGATAGTGATTGTTAATTTTATAAAACCACTATTGATGAATCTTTGACTTCCAAGGCAATTTTTGTATCAGTCAGTCCCGTAGGTATTTATTGTAATTTAATTATTAATAGATTATTTACAAATAAATAGAAATAGTCAAGATAGATAAGTTAATACTTTATATATTGTTGACAAATTGTAGACAAAAAGTATATAACCAAGAGATAAGAGAGCGCACTTCATACACGCCATGTAAAACGACTTGGTCAGGAATATCTCACCAATCTATACAAAAAAAAATCCTCATTTTCTCGTTATGTTGGCCAGTTTGGTGTTCAAAATGGAAGCGATCAGGGGTTATATTTATATTATAGTTTGATATAGTAGTAGAAATGCAAATCACGTATAAATTTTATTATGTCAAATTGCATATTCCGATAAACGTTTTTTAGCAAAAATAAAACAAAAGTTAACACTCTTAAATATATTTATTATTTTATATAATATTATATTGAGATCTTAATTTCGTAATTTTATTGATAGTAAACACATGTTTTCAACACTTTCCGTAATATTTGGTCAATCTCTAGACCTCGTAATAGAGCCAATATTAAATATATATAGTTGTAGTTCCCACGTCAAAATAAAAAGAAATATGAAATACAAATATAAAACTGTTCCACAAATAGTTTGATGATAGCCATTTATATCACAATTGACAGTATTTTTGTTAGTTAAGTTGGTACTATTGTGATTTCTTCGTTTACATGGACTGATGTTTCCTAACCGAAGCCTTACATTAAAAGCTAGTATATAAGTTATGCAATGTATGGTATTGGAGAACATATGTTTAGGAATATGTCTGTATTATTGTTTCTGGATTAAATCACAGTGCAAGCAAGTCATATTAAATTGACAATCACAACATCATTCATAAGTCGGCACTGCCCTTACATTGACTAAACAGGAAGTTTAATGTATGTCTACTTAAAGCAATATATCAATACAATAAATAACAATAATGGTGTATGATAGTGCTGTAAATACAGCGATTTTGATATAACCTGGTGATTGTGTAACACAAATATAATATTACACCTAGCAAAGATGTCAGTCCCTTGGAAAGGCAATTTATATTACTTTTCATTTTTAGTTTGTTTAACATAATTTAAACTTAATGTTATCATTAAGTTTAAAGGTTATCCTCCGTGAAAAGAAAATAAAACATTATATGATTATACTTTTTTTAACACAATTCACATCTCCCTCTTAAATAGAGGAGAAGGTAAAATAAAATCTGGCAGCAGCACAGTCGGCCGAGGTTTAGGGCCTCGGGGAAAGAAATAGTCGTACTATCTGGGTAGTATCTAAGACCATCGTTTTTTGCATTTTTCCCGGGAGTGAACTACCTAGAAATTTTGTATATCTAATCCTAGAAGTGCTGTACAACCCGAGAATACATGTCTTTCCGTGATAACAACTCTAATGTTCTATGAACAGACATAATCTAATTACAATTTTATTATATAGAGAGAAATTCGAGACCAATATTTTGAACAGCGGTCATATATTGTATCTTGAAAATATTTCAAATTTACATAAATTTATAAACTATTAATAAATAAACATTTTTCTTTTTGTAACAAATGTTTATAACATTATAGTCGATCATGCACAAACTTTTTAATGACTATGTAATTTTAGTCATAGTGCATTTAAATCAATATACATAATATTGATAAATAACTGTTTAGTTTCTTTCGTGTTCTTCTCTATATATAATAAGTTAACGAACCCTGCTTTTATGAAATAATGATAATTTGAAAATACATGTACGCAAATACGCAAAGGGGGCAAACGAGCTTGCGGCTCACTTTATGACAAGTGACTACCGCCGCTCATGATCACCCACAACACCAAAGGCATTGCAGGCAAGCTGCAGCCTTTTAAAAAGGAATATGCTCTTTTCTTGAAGATTATGGTGTCTTATCAGTTCGGAACTTTTTACTTTAGTTACTTCCAATTCTGGTAGAAGTTAATTTCAAAGAGTGGTTGTGATGTTGATGAAACAGATGATTTTCAATTTGTTTGAAGTGACGTAGCCTGCTGTACATCGAATGAATGAATGAAACATAACGATCATTCAGATGTCAGGTTTATTAGATTGTCAAATTTGACATTAAATGCCAATCCGACAGTTTATAGTGTCGCTTATATATTTTTTAATTTTATATGTTACTGCGGCTTATATTTATATTTAATAATCGTTTTTCTCACAATTTTTTTTTTAAATATATGCTTTTAACATCTACTATCTTTGATTAATAAAGTAGCGGCGTTTAGTTAATCGTATCTAAAATCTATAGCTATATTGTAATTGTAAGAATATGCTAATTGATATATTTTAGAAAGCAAATCCTAACAAACAAAAACACTTCAATTGTATAAATGTAATTCTCAAAATACAATGATTAGGCATACTCTTTCCCATAAATTTAAGCAAAAAAGTAAGTTGGCTACATGAACCATCAGTTATACAATGCCTTTATGAATATAGGCAATTGGATTGGGTAATCAACCTTTAGAAGTCTCTAATGGTATACTCATGATACCTGTGATAAGCCCATATTTGGGTGTTTATAATTTCTTTTATGCAACTTAGAACAACAAGCAACCTGATACCCCACCTAATGAAAAGCGGTAGTCACCTATAAACATGAACAGTACAGTACCATAAACATAAAAGAGTATACTGTTTCAAAGCTGAAATACTAATGGAACAGACATCCTAAGTGATCTCTGTAGTCTCTCTGTAATAAATTATAGGTAATTTTTTCCAAGGGGTATATTCTGAAGCGCTAAATTATTTGTTAAATAAAACTCATTTTAACAATTCAATGAAACATATTCTGGATAGATAGATAGATAAACACTTTATTTGAGCCATTTATGACACATGTAAACATACACGTATTCTAAGGACCAATACTCTAAAGTAACGAAGTTTAATTAGAACTGTTCCCCATAGATTTGTAGGTAATATTTATGGCTATTTAATGTCCAACAAATAACATAATACTGTACTAAATAATCTATAAAAAAAATTATTCATGTTCAATTCTTTTATTATAAAAGCTGATACAATAATTAGCTACTAAACATAAACCACCCTTTCAGGGGATTTTGCCAGTAGTTGCTATATTTGGCAGGCAGATTGTCTACTGCAGTTAAAGACTTTGGAAATGTTTTAAGTGGGATGCTGCTGCCTATCTCTTGCCCTCCCTTAGTTGCCTCTTACAACACCTCAAGAAAGGAGTAGTTATAAATAATTCAGGTAAGTCAGGTCAGGCACAAATAAATAAAAACAGCTTTTGAAATGAAATGAAAGAAAAATGTAATACAACTTGGATGTATTAGATATGATGGTGTTTACCAAGTTTCATGTAGTAAACATATATAAATACTTAGTTGATGCATTTTTTTACAAAATGTTTTTGACCAAAAAATAAGTTTTATAATTATATCTTATTAACATTTACAGTTCCGTATTCTTTAGAACTCACACTGACACACTGTAAATTAATCTTATAAAACTAATTACAATAATTCTATATTCTATCTAGTGACTCCAACATTATTATACTGTTCCCTCTAATGACCTGTAACAAGGAAATGTTTGAGAATTAATATCCAAATGAAATTTCAACTCAGATATACCAAAGATGTGTTTGATAAAAAAATACATAATTTTCCAACTGTGTTAGTGATAAGTAGAGAAATACAGGACATGTATACATTCTGATAGATGAAATGTTAGATAATTACTACTTTCAGATTGTGAAAGTTGACAAATACCCATTCAAAGAAGTACTCTGCTTGTATATTATTAATTTTAGCTATTCAGATACACCTAAGTAAAAATCTACAATTAAGCTGATATAAACAAACATTCCAAATTACATACTTCAGTTGTCGCACTTCGTTTTTTACGGTTGCAATGAGTTTTATCATCCTCTTTATATAAATAATTATACATTATACATACCACCATGCCAATGTTGGTGCGCTGACCATCCTTGCACTCTTCGACAGATTCATCAAGTACTAGATTCATAAATGGATCAAACCCACGAAGCACGCCAGTCACGGCGCGACCGGCGTTTAGTTTTATAGACAACTTCTTATCCATGAATCTAAAAATTTAATATTACAACAACTTTAGATAGAATAGTAAGAAAACACAGTGACTGAAAATAAAACAAAGAATTTGAATATAAATAAGTCCGTAAAATAATATGGGGGAAATTGTATAGGTTATGGAAATAATTTTCGAAAAAAATCAACGAGAAACTAACTTTTTCAATTCCGGGGGATGAGCTTTCGACATTTTAGTTTACTAAATTAAAATAAATTAAGTGTTTGAAATAATTTCAAGGTACAAAATTGCGAAATTAAACAAATCTAACAAACAATGGCGGGTAGCGTTACTCAGAGTGTTGCCATATCGAAACAAGTTTTTATCCTAAAAATAATTACAAAAAGGTACTTTATTCTAGAAGTTATAAAAAACAATAATAGATATTATTAAATATTGTTTCTCTGGCGTAAAATATATCTTACATACGCATTATGTTGTTTTACTATTTATTTGTTGCGTCCATTGGAGCTATCGTTTTACCTTACCATTAAAACTGCTATTTTTACATTACGTACAAACATAATACGTACGTACTACTCTGTACGAACGTATTACCTTTTTCTTTTTTGTCAACATAGACTAAAATTAAAATGTATTCTTATAAGAAGTACGTTCTCAATTCAGCTGTATTTTTTTTATGTTTGTTGCCTCATAACTCCATTAGTTCTTAAGAAAATTGCAATATTATTCCATTATCTCAGTGTATTTTATACTTACAGTTACGTTTCATAGAAATTTTATTAAAATCAGTTTAGTGGTTTAGTTTTTAAATCAAAATGTTCGTAACGAAATATGATAATGTCGCAACAATTGTTTTTAAAAACAATTGAAGAATTTTCAATAGTTCTGATTAATTTAATAAATTTATTTATAGTATCTTGCTAGCGAGTTAGAACGTTAATTTATTTATTCTTTCTTGACTATATTATAAAAAGTGTTTGATATAAAAATTGGACGTAGTGTTATGTAGCATTTTCTCCCAGTCTAACTTTGGAAAAATATATACGTAATTATGCGGTGAAAAAAAAAATTAAAATGTGTAGATAAATAGTCAATCACATGTATGTACAAAATTCCCAAACAATAATAAAATATTTAAAAACCATCTGTTATCTTCAACATTGCCCACTTTATGCCAATTTAGTAAAATCTTTTGTAAACAAATTTGTTTATTTGCATAAGGTTAAAAAATAAAATACGATTATATATGATTGGCATGATGGGACTAGAAAGTACTAGATCTACCTCAAAATATTTAGTTTTACAACACTAGATAGTCTTCTCCTATCTATGGTCTTCGTACAGAATCAAGCTGCTTAAATCAAGCACTCAAAAATTTCTCTTTCAAACCAATTTATAAATTCAAACTGAGAACAAAAAAACATTGCTTTCAATTGACAATGTCATTTTTTTATGGTTAACTTGGTCTCAATGCGCTTAATTGTTAGCGGAGTTTTAAATGGATATTTCAAGCGCATTTTTTTTTTATAATTGCCAGTATAAAATATTGTGAAAGATGCTCTTATAATCTAATAATATTGGAAAATAATAAGTACTTATATTTTGAATAAATATTTAAAACATCGCTTCATACAGTTTATAAAAGGTAATATCGTAAATATATATAGATTAAATAAATTTCTGCGTTAAATATATTTTGTTTAATTCAATACCATTAATTTTGAAACTTTGTCATTATTAGTAATATCTAAAGACTGTTGTAATTATTTAATTTGTGAAAATAATGTCTATTAATTCACATAAGTATCCCTTTAATAAAAGTACGTAGTAACTACATGTACGCGAGTATATATATATCGCTCCCTTTTTATCATCAATTTCTACATCAACATTCATTCATTTTCATTCAATTCAATCAACCATACAACACTATCATACAAACAAGAAGTACTAAGTTGACAGTAGACGGCACGATGGATGTTGTTTATTGAGTGTTGAATTATTTTGATACTAAATTTCGGGTTTTGTTTTGAAACATGGTGACTTATGTACTTTATTGGCTATAATATATTTAGTAGTGTAATAGTTTGTGTTTATGTTCTCAAGAATGGATGAATCTGGGATTGACTTGGCTTATGATCTCGCATCATTGCTGTCGAACGATTTCAATCCTGATCAAAATATCCTGGGTGAAATGACTACAGAACAGCATCAGGATTTCATGTTCTACGAACTTAAGTCGAAAGCCGTGCCAATCACTGAAAGGTTAGTGAATTCTATATAAATTACTGAGTTTACGTTGCAGCGAGCACAAGTTACTTTGCGAATATTTTTAGCACACTACGAGGAACAATTTCTCCGATGTTAGCGTTGTTAGCATCCGTGACCCTGAAAACTGGACTTGGCAAATCACCCAGTTTTGTGAGTTTTGCCATCTTGTTTATCCATCCTCGTATTTCAATTAGTATGCGCTAGTCGCATATTTTTTTAAATTAGGCACATATTATTAGGTATTATTATTTTTTAAATTTAGAATTATCAATTTTACAAATAGATATGTACCACGAACGGACGACTACATTGACTTTTTCTTTTGTTAAAAATTTACAACTTTTTCGAATATTATTTTTGAATAGGAAACTTTTCGCGCGCTTTTTATTAAGACCTCATTTTGTAGGTAGCTATGTTTACGTATCGTTTTGTATTATGTACTGTAAATTAAAGTGATAAGGCTCGATTATTTCTTTTTGAATTAAAAAGAACATCAAACGGATTGTTATTGAATTACTTAATGTTATCAGTTAGAGTATTACTTTCATAGCTGACCTCTTTTCATTTCGCCACGAGAGCAGTGTCCGTTCTCAGTGTCAAACCGTCTAGCTAGACATTGTAAATTAATCATAATAATTGACTGTTAAAAATATAATTTGTTGTTGAATTTACCTATTTGCATCTCCGTATCGACTACGAAAAAGATACTGAAAGGAAATAAAAGTCGTTTACCTACATCTTGTTTACATTTATATTTAATATAGATAGCATTCATTTGTTATGTAGGTATTTCATGTTTAAAGTATTATTAACTGCTCTTTTTAATTAGATTTGGTGAATTAATAACTTTGAAGCTTAAATTTTTGAACAATCAACCTTCACGCTGAGTCTCTTACGGGTAGACAGTGATGATCTAATTCCAAAGGCGTCTATCTCTAAATTACTTAGTAAATACCTACTAATTGGTATTATTACCATTATTTATTGGTAATAATAATAATTATTGATATTACAATATATCATTTACTACCATTTCTTCACTCACCTTCATCGTACATCATCACTATTACCCATTATTACCATCACCATTACTATAATAACGTATTACCTCTTACCTCTCTTACTGATAGCACTGTTCAATTGGGGGGAAAGGGATTGTTAGCAATGGAGACTGAGAATCCTATTGCTAGCAATATACCCAACCAGGTCGACCTCCTCGCGATTCTCCCTGGAAACTATCATGGTTAATTCCCGATGAATTCATCGTGATGGACTAACTGGCCTGTTTTCATTCTCATCTATCATCCTTCACTGGTGCTCCGCCAGCGTATCCTGTTAGCGCAGGCGGGGTTACCATACCATTTTCATCCATCAAAAAAAAAAAAAGGACGAGGAGTCGGCACCAGCGTCCGTCTTAAAACATCGTCAAAAGTAAACTACCAGTACCAGTAATCATTTCAGTTTCATTTATATGAAAAAAAAAACTGTTTTTTCCTAAAAAAAGATTTTTTTTTATATAACTTAGAATGGCAAACAAGCTGACGGCCCACCTGATGGAAAGTGGTAACCGTCGCCTATAGACACGAGCAGTACCATGGACATAATAGAGTATATTGTTTCGCCCATGATACCTTCCATGCGTTGCCATTCCTGAGGACTCAGGTGTTATTCCTCTGTACCCAGTAAATTCATGCCAATATAATATATAATTAAACCCATATTGTGTAAAAAAAATGCATATATCGTTATAAATCAATGCATGCACACAAGAGCACGAATTAAACGACTTCTATTGGTGGACGGGGCGAGTGACCGTTGTCACTACACGAATGGCAAGCCGACTCTCAATTGGTCTTAATTCACTATATGACTCTTGTTGATAGACGATGGACTGGTACCTACCGCGGTTCAAGTTCAAATTGTCTAGTTGCTTGTACCGTGGTCAATTGATGTTTTGTTGTGTAACCCACTCATGGTATTTTGTCCATTTAGAGAACAATAATTTAGGCGTGGGGAGAGGAGAGTTCGAAATACGGACTACCAATCCCATTGCTAACAATATACCCTGTCAGGTCGACCACCACGTGGTCCCCCTGGAAACCATCGTGCTGAATTCCAGGTGTATTCATCATAATGGGCTAATTTACCTGTCTTTTCATTCTCACCTATTATCCCTCTCTGGTGCCCCGCCAGTGTATACCGTTAGCGCAGGCGGGGTTACCATTTCATTATCATCCATTGGAAAAACTAGGAAATAATTATGGTCAAACTATGTAGGTACTATCCTGTTTGGAATTGAAGTTTCAAATCTCAAAATTCTTTCGCCAACGTCTAAATCCTGACAAATATAGTTATTAATATTATAAATTGTTAAAGAGGGTTTTTATTTTTTTGCTTTTTTTTTTTTTATAGCGCTTCAACTGCTTAATCAATCCCTATGAAAGGTATACACGTACTATATGAGATGAAGAAGGATATATATGTAGGTTACTTTTTTATTTCGCTTACTAATCATATCTTGAGGGGGGAAAGGGATTGTTAGCAATAAAGTTTGACAGCTCCATTGCTAGAAATATGCCTTATTAGGTCGATCTCCACGTAGTTCCCCCTGAAAACCATCGTGAACAATTCTTGTCGAATTCGTCACGATGGGCTAACTGACCTGTTTCATCCTCACCTATCATCCTTCACTGGTGCCTCACCGGTGTATACCAATAGCGCGGGTGGGGTTACCATTCCATTATCACCCATAAAAAAAAAAATCATATCTTGATCACGCGGACGTAGTCGCGGGTTAACAATTGTGAAAAATAAATCTGTTACTTTGTTAAAATTTGTTTTGGTATATTTGACCTACGGCTTAACAAATTTGAATAGTATTTAATATGAATACCTCGAGTCGATAGTAAATAAATACTTTATGGGAATGCGCTAATAGATTTCAACCATTGAAATTATCTTTATAGTTTAGCCTGAGTCAATACTCCGTTAATTGAAGTGTTTGTAAACAGTACATGTAGAAATATCTATATAATTTAGTTACAATATGTATATACTGGTCCAATAACGAATATGTTAGAAGT